AATGCGCCGGTACTTCAGCGGAGGATCAATATCCTACTTTGAATATATCGAAATGTGAATTTTTACATTTATCTATTATTTTAAGCTCAACTGCAATTTTTTTTAATTAAAGTGTAATAAGATATTTACCGTTTTTTTGTCGTTTTTACCTTTTCTCAATTATCAATTATCTCAATAGTAAAAAGTTAGCAATGCTATCAAGGAATTATCGTTTCAATTTTGTACTTATTTGGTGGTGTATTGCTGGCCACTTAGGTTTTAATACATTTTTTTACATAAAACACTCTCGAACTTTGTCGAAAATATTTTGATATCAAATTTCATACTAAAAAGTCGAGTCATATTTATTTTCTTTAAAAAAACCACAAACACTCATATTATTTAAGAGTATAGTAATGTAACACCAAAGACGTAAGCAAATTCATTATTTTGGGGCTACTGTGCACACGACTCGGCAATAAGATCAATAGAAATAAAAAAAATGAAAAGAATATTAACGGTACACTTCAATTGTTTTCTTGGTGTCAGGTGCCACGCTCGATATACGGCACACCTGTATATCCATTCCCACTAGGACCAGATGGCCTTGATATCTCCAATATCGAATTTGATAACTTTCTTTCAGACGATATGTACATAAATAGCAACATATGGAGACATGTCGGAGTAATTCGCGAAATTAAACCGATTGTCCTCTTCAATTCCCACACAGATAAAACATGTATTTGTTGGTAAAAACCATTGCCTTATCCTGAGATAAAGCAGGTAAGCTAATAGAAGGTTGAAATTTTGAACATCTGTGTAATTCGGGTTTTCTTCTTGACTGAGAAACAATGCAACCAAGAGCAGTAGTCCACGCTCCCAAAACTATTTAAAACATGAGCAACAGACTTATGTTTATATATTCACTCCGACTATCACCAGATAACCTCAAATTTATTACCGATTTATAAAAATTTGCTAAAACAGCGAAGCTACTCTTGCCCCTTGCTTACAGGGGACTTAACAGACAGTATTCGACAATAGTCCTTGTGAACACAAGACAGAGGACTGGCTTCTCTTAATACAATATATTACTTAAACAGCATATCTTTACAAACTCACAATCACCATGGATGGGTCATAAATTCGAAGCCAGTAAAATGTGCCTTTTTATCCAAAACAAATGAAATACATTCATGGATGCAAAAAGCAATTTCATCTATACTATATTATAAAGAGGAAAGATTTGTATTTTTGTATGTTGATTCACGTAAAAACTATTGGGCCGATTTTAAAAATTCCTTCACAATTAGAAAGGTAATTTATCAGTAACAAGTTTTTTCATGACTTCAATTTCACATATACAATGTCGTGAGCAACAACTAGTGTTTACTAAGAATTGTGAAAGGTCCATATAATTAAAATAATACCACAATTTTCTAATTGAAATATAATGGGAAAAAATTGTATCTTACTGTCCAATTTGGCATAAATATATAATTCAGTTCTTGTAGATTCTTTGGTGTGTGAAAGAGCAACACTCTCATTATATAACTCATGTGTTAGGAAGGACACACATATCAACCACCCAAGGTAACAATTGAGTGTTGAAAGAACTCTCCGGAATTATGTCACTTTAAAATAAACATATTCCATCTTGCAAACAAGACTATTTTATCTTCTTATTATGGTTGTCATATCTACATAAACCGAGTTGAAATGTATTTAGATAGACAAACGGACATGGACATTGAAAAACAGCTTGTAGATAAAGATTTTTTAACTTTCATGCCCTCCCACTATTGTCAAGTCTCAAGTAAACATTTATGCAAACTAGTTGTACAAAGCAGACTGAAACTCTGTACACCTCACAATATAACAGCCAAAAATGTCCACCTCTCGGTGGTTATTCTACTCAAAATCAATACAATTTGTGTTGTCATAATTCTTCTAAAAATACAGAATAAACGACTGCTCTTACAATCGTAGGAAAAAATACTGTCGCATACATACTCTGCAAAAGACATGATAAGACAAAGAGTCAGCTGTCAGTTTTGAAACATCCTTTAATAACCCTCGCGTAAAATACGCTCTTACCATCCAACAGACTGCTAATTCATTATCAAGGGCAACTAATATTGAGAAACAAATCGCCATATTTCAAAATTCCTGTTTTTAGTATTGTTATATATCGTCCGTATCGACTGTCACATCATAAGCGTTGGGAAGAGATGTGACGCAGGTCTTGCGCCAGTCATCTTCCATCTACGCTACTCCTATCCTTCTAGTACGCAACAAAGATGGATCTCTTAAAATTACCGTATGCTGAATTCTGTAACTCTTAAGCGGAGATATCCAATGCCAATCGTTGAAGGTGAAATAGCTTGTCTTTTGGGTCAATCCTGTTTTATTACTGTAGACATCACGTCAGGCTATTATCAGGCACCAATGGGAAAGAAATGTGAACGAGCTTAAACGCATGACTCGTGTTGGCCAATGCGCCGGTACTTCAGCGCAGGATCAATATCCTACTTTGAATATATCGAAATGTGAATTTTTACATTTATCTATTATTTTAAGCTCAACTGCAATTTTTTTTAATTAAAGTGTAATAAGATATTTACCGTTTTTTTTGTCGTTTTTACCTTATCTCAATTATCTCAATAGTAAAAAGTTAGCAATGCTATCAAGGAATTATCGTTTCAATTCTCTACTTATTTGGTGGTGTATTGCTGGCCACTTAGGTTTTAATACATTTTTTTTTACATAAAACACTCTCGAACTTTGTCGAAAATATTTTGATATCAAATTTCATAGTAAAAAGTTGAGTCACATTTATTTTCTTCAAAAAACCGCAAACACTCATATTATTTAAGAGTATAGTAATGTAACACCAAAGACGTAAGCAAATTCATTATTTTGGGGCTACTGTGCACACGACTCGGCAATAAGATCAATAGAAATAAAAAAAATGAAGAGAATATTAACGGTACACTTCAATTGTTTTCTTGGTGCCAGGTGCCACGCTCGATATACGGCACATCCTGTATATCCATTCCCACTAGGACCAGATGGCCTTGATATCTCCAATATCGAATTTGATAACTTTCTTTCAGACGATATGTACATAAATAGCAACATATGGAGACATGTCGGAGTAATTCGCGAAATTAATCCGATTGTCCTCTTCAATTCCCACACAGATAAAACATGTATTTGTTGGTAAAAACCATTGCCTTATCCTGAGATAAAGCAGGTAAGCTAATAGAATGTTGAAATTTTGAACATCTGTGTAATTCGGGTTGTTTATAATTTAATTATAAAAGTCAGCTGGTTGTCTTCATGGCTGAGAAACAATACAACCAAGAGCAGTAGTCCACGCTCCCAAAACTATTTAAAACATGAGCAACAGACTTATGTTTATATATTCAGTCCGACTATCACCAGATAACCTCAAATTTATTACCGATTTATAAAAAGTTGCTAAAACAGCGAAGCTACTCTTGCCCCTTGCTTACAGGGGACTTAACAGACAATATTCGACAATAGTCCTTGTGAACACAAGACAGAGGACTGGCTTCTCTTAATGTAATATAATACTTAAACAGCATGTCTTTACAAACTCACAATGACCATGGATGGGTCATAAATTCGAAGCCAGTAAAATGTGCCTTTTTATCCAAAACAAATGAAATACATTCATGGACGCAAAAAGCAATTTCATCTATACTAATATTATAAAAAGGAAAGATGTGTATTTTTGTATGTTGATTCACGTAAAAACTATTGGGCCGATTTTACAAATTCCTTCACAATTAGAAAGGTAATTTATCAGTAACAAGTTTTTTCATGACTTCAATTTCATATATACAAAGTCGTGAGCAACAACTAGTGGTTACCAAGAATTGTGAAACATCCATATAATTAAAATAATACCACAAATTTCTAATTGAAATATAATATGATAAAATTGTATCTTACTGTCCAATTTGGCATAAATATATAATTCAGTTTTTGTAGATTCTTTTGCGTGTGAAAGAGCAACACTCGTATAATATAACTCATGTGTTAGGAAGGACACAAATATCAACCACCCAAGGTAACAATTGAGTGTTGAAAGAACTCTCCGGAATTATGTCACTTTAAAATAAACATGTACCATCTTCCAAACAAGATTAATTTATCTTCTTATTATGGTTGTCATATCTACATATACCGAGTTGAAATGTATTTAAATAGACAAACGGACATGGACATTGAAAAACAGCTTGTAGATAAAGATTTTATAAGTTTCATGCCCTCCCGCTATTGTCAAGTCTCAAGTAAACATTTACACAAACTTGTTGTACAAAGCAGACTGAAACTCTGTACACCTCACAATATAACAGCAAAAAATGTCCACCTCTCGGTGGTTATTCTATTCAAAATCAATACAATTTGTGTAGTCATAATTCTTCTAAGAATACAGAATAAACGACTGCTCTTACAATCGTAGGAAAAAATACTGTCGCATGCGTACTCTGCAAAAGACATGATAAGACAAAGAGTCAGCTGTCACTTTTGAAACATCCATTAATAACCTTCGCGTAAAATACGCTCTAACCATCCAAAAGACTGCTAATACATTCAAAATACAAGACAGCTTTTTAACGACAAACGCATGCAAAAATAGGAGAATAATCACAATTTTTGGAAAAATTCCGTGGACCCACAAGTTTGCAAAAAAATAATATCTGTGTAATTCGGGTTGTTTATGATTTAAGTAGAAAAGGCAGCTGGTTGGGTTCATGACTGAGAAACAATGCAACCAAGAGCAGTAGTCCACGCTCCCAAAACTATTTAAAACATGACAAATAGAATCAAACCATGGATATGTCATAAATTCGAAGCCAGTAAAATGTGCCTTTTTATCCAAAATATTTCTAGAGATCAACAATCTATAACATCCAGAACAAACGAAACATGTTATTGACTTAAAAACCACTTTCATCTATACTAATATTATAAAAAGGAAAGATTTGTATTTTTGTATGTTGATTCACGTAAAAACTATTGGGCCGATTTTAAAAATTCCTTCACAATTAGAAAGGTTATTTATCAGTAACAAGTTTTTTCATGACTTCAATTTAACATATACAACGTCGTGAGCAACAACTAGTGATTACCAAGAATTGTGAAACATCCATATAATTAAAATAATACCACAATTTTCTAATTAAAATATAACTGTCCAATTTGACATATATTAATAATTCAGTTTTTATAGATCCTTTGAAGTGTGAAAGAGCAACACTCTTATTATATAACTCATGTGTTAGGAAGGACACAAATATCAACCATCCAAGGTAACACTTAGTGTTGAAAGAACTCTCCGGAATTATGTAACTTTAAAATAAACATATTCCATCTTGCAAACAAGACTTTTTTATCTTCTTATTTTGGGTGCAATTTCTACATACACCAAGTTGAAATGTATTTAGATAGACAAGGACGAGACATGGACATTGAAAAACAGCTTGTAGATAAAGATTTTTTAAGTTTCATGCCCTCCCGCTATTGTCAAGCATCAAATAAAAATCTTTCCTAACAAGATGTACAGAGCAAACTGAAACTCTGCACATATAGAATACAGAATAAACGACTGCTCTTAAAATCGTAAAAAAATACTGTCGCCTACATACTCTGCAAGACATGATAAGACAAAGTGTCGGCTGGACAGATTCGAAAGATCCATTAATAGCCCACGCGTAAAATACGCTCTCATCATCCAACAGACAGCTAATCCATTATCAATAGGTAACAGATACCACAATTAAACCATGAACCATTTGACCAAAACTATTTTTTAGACCAAAATATGCCAGAAACAGACCAAAATCATGTTCATCCAGTGCGATAATTTGATAAACCAAAAATGTGCTGTACAACTTTGTAAGACGAAACAACAATGGGAGATTTTAGCATTTTGATGACATAACTACTAAATTGTAATTTATAAAAATCCACGAAACACAATACAAATGAAAGCCACACGACACACCTCTTGCTGTTTTACTGTCAAAAATGGGTTGAAAATGGTCGACCGATCGATTTGATGACAGCAGTGTTGCCAATGAAACTTGGTATACCCGGTACATTGCGTGAAAAAGTCTTGTTTGTATTGAAATAGGTGAAAACCTTAAAAGAATTTAATTAACATTAGATGCCCAAATGTGTTGAAAATGTCCCCTCTTTATTTTCTAAAATTCACAATATATTTGAACGTAAACATTTGAGATCCTAGCGCCACCAGTGTTAGGATTTATTTTTTTCACTGGTGTTTCTGATCACTGTTGATCTTTACCCATTCAAACACAACTCCAACGATGGTAGAGCCCGCTTTAACATTTTTGCACGAACAGGTTGGCTGGCCCGGTGTAATACCAACCACGACCACACAGAGGACAGGCGTGAAGTGGGTTGAATTCCGTTGAAACCCAACTTTACTCCCCATCCCACCCTTTTTCTTATTAGAAAAGGATTGGGAAGGAACGTGGATTTGACGTTGCAGGAGATGCAAAGTAATGGGAAATATCCTCTTTATGTGAGTCTCCTCCACCTTCATTTAAGTGTTCGCAACGCATCCGCTATTCCGGATGTCTATAAGCAGCGGTCAATTCAGCTGTCAAAATTTTCATTGGCAACACTGATACCGATTGACAGTGACAATGAAAGCAATTTGTGGAAGATGTTTGGTTTGGTTTCGTTCGTTGTTTTAACTAAATTATTCACCTATATTTGAAATTTCTGAATGAAACAACGTTAATTATTCTTGTCTTAACAATATACAGTCCGATGGAGATTACTGACTGCGTTTTGTGTGTAGGATGTCTTTGTGTTGGTCGAAAAATGTTAATACTCGAAGACTATTGGAAGAAGAAATGTTTCTTACAAATTCTTAGTGAAATACCGGTGAATTTATTTAGCTATCAATAATTACCAGAAGTATAGTGTGTAACGGTTAACTGTTGTTCAAAGTTCCTATATTCCATTTGCCAGAAGGCGGTTATCGTCTACTTTTCCTACACAGTAGTAGACCCTGCTATAACATTTTCGCACGAATGGGTCGGCTCGCCCGGTGTAATACCACGACCATACAGACAGGCGTAAAGTGGGAGTGATTCCGCGTTTCTTCTGATGAGTGTGGTGCTGGAGGCCTAATTAAAGTCCCTTTCTCTTATCACTTTTTTCTTAGAAGAATGGATGGGGAAAGTGGATTTGACGGCATAGGAAAGGAAAATATCTTCTTCATCGTTTTAGGGTAGCCAATGCATCTGCAATTACAAATCCCTATAGGCAGCGGTCGCTTCGCCATTTATGCGAATTAGGTGACCGCTTTATTGTTTGCCACCTTATATTATAAAAAAAAAACACGATTATGACAGTATATCTTACTTTGTTTTTTATATATGCTGCTTAAAGTAATGAATGTAAACCCAAAAAAAACAGTGTTAGTTTGAACTTTTTAGTAAATTTACTTATATACAATACCATTTTTTAATTACAGGTATTGCAGAATGAAAGTATACCAATGTCTCTGTGCTGGGAGTGTGATGCAATCATATCTCGCTTTACGAAATTCCAACGACAAGTTATTGATTCCTTTGAAGTATTTCAGAATTATTTGAAACAGGTAACATTAATTTTAAAAGGTTAGTGTGGTATGGACATGTTATGCGATGAAACAATGGGGACATAAACCAGAAAGTGTTAAGATTGAATGTGGATGGCTACAAAGGAAGAGGAAGACCGAAGAAAGTATGTGATTGTGTGAAAGAGAATATGCTTAAGAAGGGAGTGGATTCAGATATGACGGCTGATAGAGATGTATGGAAGAGCAGCACATACTGTGCCGACCCTCCATAAGGGATAAGTGCAAGTGGATGATGAACATTAATTTTAATATATGACTATTCTCATAAGCCAGTACTTTTGTTTTACTTATTTATTACACAAACTAAATGCAATTATGTCCACCTGGAATTAATTAAAACTTAACCAAAGTGTGCTGTAGCATGGTACCGGTGACAATTACCATAAAGTTTCTTTTCAATCCTAAAAGTTGCCACAACATACAATTTATGACTTAGAGCCTGTCCCACCACTCTCTGATAGATGCTCAGATAGCTTAAAAATGATGTCACAAGGAAACAAAATCCAATATTTCCATCACATCTTACTTGTTGGATTGTTATCAGACAATTTACTATTTGGTGGGACAGACCCTCAGCATTTTAGTTGTACCAAATTATTATTTACTGTAGTAATCTAGTATTGACAGATATCAACATTATATAGGCAACTGTCAGTGCGAAAAGCTACTGTACATAAAGTGTAGTATCTATACCAAATTTCATTGAAATCTATTCAGCAGTTTAGGCGGTAAACATTCATTCTAAACCTATCCATTCATTATATAGTTTTAAACAATTTATATAATTGATACTATTGTGTGAACTTGCCTCTTAAGTTGAAGGGGCAGATCTACAAGTCCATCATAAGACCTGTTTTATTGTATGGATCTGAATGTTGGGCCACCAAAGTCGAAGATGAAAGGAGATTGCATGTGGTTGAGATGCATATGTTAAGATGGATGTGTGGTGTGACAAGAATGGATAAAGTTGAGAATGTGTACATTAGAGAAAGTTTGAAAGTAGCACCAGTGGTGGAGAAATTGAGAAGCAAAAGGTTAGCGTGGTATGGACATGTTATGCGACAAGACAATGGGGATGTAAACCAGAAAGTGTTAAGAATGAATGATGGCTACAAAGGAAGAGGAAGACCGAAGAAAGTATGTGATTGTGTGAAAGAGGATATGCTTAAAAAGGGAGTGGATTCAGATATGACGGCTGATAGAAATGTGTGGAAGCAGCACATACTGTGCCGACCCTCTGTAAGGGATAAGGGCAAGTTGTTGATTTCATAACTTAAAAAACTCAGAGCCACACTTTTCGCTAAGATGGCGCGCAATATATAATACATCTAATGACATTGACAGCTGTCAGTTAGAGATGTGACTTATATGTCTAAGATTTAGTGTTGTGCTACTGTAGTACTGGTTTTCTTAATAATAGTAAATTATATTTTTTTCTTTTTTCAGAATACAGATCTATCACAAATAAGGACGACATCAAGATTAGAAACACACAAAATAATTGATATAATAATACCTGATGATTTGGTTGATATCAAAGTGGAAAAAGTATGGGATGTTGGAATAGATCAAATCAAAACTGAAGATTGTTCAGAGAATACTGACGATAGAGAGTTAGAAATCAAAAGGAAGAAATCACGTAAATTGAATAAGAAATGTAATAAAGTGTACAAGGAGATAGAGTTAAGTGCAGAAGAGTTGGATGTAGAAAGAAGAGTGTTGTTGTGTAAAGAAGAATATATCAATGCGGTGTTCAAATGTGATAATTGTATAACAGTGTTTCCGAATGCAGATGATTTACAAGATCACATATATTTGAAACATGAAGTGGTAAGTTTTTATTTACAAGATGTTGCCCGCGACTCTGTCCACTCGATATTTAAAATAGTAGCCTATAATATGCCCATTTATGTATACCCGGAACAAATGCGGCTTGCGGACAGACAGACAGACAAATAAATGCGTTTTTTATTATCAACAACGCAAATACATCATCTTCCCGAAATTTGGAATTCTTTTAATACAGACACTTCAATCTTTCTTCTTATTAATATTATAAATGTGAAAGTTTAGATGGATGGATGTTTGTTACAGTTTGTAGCTTAAACTGCTGAATAGATCTCGATGAAATTTGGCACAGATGTTGAGGATAGCCAGAAAGAAGACATAGACTACTCACTTTTGGTTTTTTTAATTCCACGCGGATGGAGTCGCGGGCAAAACCTATTTTTTTGTATAGTATAAGGTGACAAACAAGCAAGCGGCCACCTGAATCTACCGAAAAGGAAAGCGACCGCTGCACATAAACATCCGCAATTGCAGATGCGCTGTCTACCCTTCATTGGCGGTGGAGACGCACATAAAGATGACATTTCCCCTTCCTATGCGTCTCCTCCAGCGTCAAATCCATTTCCTCTTCTCATCTCTTCTCAGGGGAAAGGGACTAAAATTAAGCCTTCCGGCACCACATTCATCACTGACTGAATGCGGAATTGCTTCCACTTCACGCCTGTTTTCTGTGTGGTCGTGGTATTGCTGGGTGCGAACCGAACCATTCGTGCGAAGATGTAAAAACGTCCTCTACCACTGTTAGATTATATCATATGTATAGATTTATATTATGACTATTTATTTCCAGAATGCATCGAAATTTAAATGCGATGTTTGTAAATGTTCCTTCTCGACTGAAGTATCGTATAATTACCATATAAATAGACATAAGAGGAGGTTTAAGTGTCAGTTATGTGAGAAAAATTTTATAAGTAAAACAGCAGTCACAAAGCACTACAATATTGTACACAGGTGATGGTTTCAAATTGCACTCAGAGTTGTGTTTATAAACTAAATTATTGATGATCGATTCCTTACAGTGTAGATTATAATTGTCAAATGGAAAGTAAATTGAATGATGACCAGGAAGTGATTGTTGAAGAAATTCAAAATAACAGGTAATCTTTATATTTTTTATCTATATGTTCAAGGAGTTTTTACATGTTTTTATATCTCAAGCAATTAGAAAAAAAGAAAAATTATTTGAAATTAGAACACATTGTCAATGTCATCGTATTCTCTGTCTTTTTCTTTTTATGTCTCAAGCAATTAAAAAGAATTTAAATTATTTAAAATTAGAACACGTTGTCAATGTCATCGTATTCTCTATGTCTTTTTCTGCACATTTTTTACCAATACACATTTCTCCATTAAAAATAATCTTATTTCTAAGTTTTTTTAAGATATATACTATACTAATGTAATCAATCTATATCTATACATGTAATAAAATTGGAGTGTCTGTTTAAAATATCAAAAGAAAAAAAAGCGTTTGTTCCGGGTAACCTCGAAACGACTGGGCCAATTTCTACCGGACTCATTGTCGGTAGCAGACATGGATAGGCATATTATAGGCAACTTTTTTGTAAATTCCGCGTTGACAAAATGGCGTAATGGGTGGTACAAAATTGCGCTATCAAAGTTTGCGGCAGGTCGTCTATACTAATATTATAAAGAGAAAAGATTTGTATTTTTGTATGTATTGAAATAACTCAATAAATTATTGGTCAGATTTTAAAAATCCTTTCACCGTTAGAAAGGTAATTTTTCTGTGGGTAATATACTCGTAGGCTGTATTTTTATTACTTTTAATTTTATCCTAAATTTGTTTCCAGTACAGAACAACCTTGTTTCCCTTGTGAACTTTGTGAGAAAACATTTCGATGGAAGACGTCTTTACGGAAACATTTAGAAACGCATCGTATTGAAACGGGACAGAAAAGGAAGCCATATTGTGAAACGTGCAGGTAAGAAAGAGACGGATATATGTTTGTAAATTCCAACATCACGGATTTGAAAAAATTTCGAAAGAAGTCGGGAATATTTTTGTTTACTGGTATTCTCAAAACAAGCAGGCGCAAAAAACTGCTATAAAATCCTTATAGGTCTTTACCCGTCAAAGTACGAGAGAGATAGCAATATTTATGTTCTATCTTTTTTTTTATAACATAAGGTGGCAAACGAGCAAGCGGCCACCTGAAACCGCCAAAATGGCGAAGCGACCGCTGCCCATAGACATCCGCAATTGCAGATGCGTTGCCTACCCTTATACGACGGAGAAGGAGACTCACATAATGAGGATATTTCCCCTTCCTATGCATCTCCTCCACCGTCAAATCCACTTCCCCTTCCCAACCTCTCCTTGTAAGAAAAAGGTGGTAAAGAGAAAGGGACTTAAATTAGGCCTCCGGCACCACACTCATCAGACGAAACACGGAATTGCTTCCACTTTACTCCTGGTCTTCTGTGTGGTCGTGGTATTACTGGGGGCATGCCGGCCCTGCAGTGCTAAGATGTTAAAGCAGGCACTGTAAAAAATGTTCTATCTCTCTGTTTAGAAGTGAAAAACAGCGTAAAAGTTGGAATTTTCCTTTCAGATTGTCTTTCACTACAACGTCTAATTTACAAAAACATATAAAAACCAGTTCGAAACATCAGATATTGCTGAAAGTCAGGTAATATAAATATTTTATTATCTATATACTTCTACATCTCCGACTCGAAGGACCAAAAACATGTTTACTTAATAAAATAACACCATTGTTTTTGATAAATCTCTTCTTTATTCATACTTAAGTCATTTTTACAACATAACAAAATTTCTACACATGCTTGATTTTTCTTCATCTTGACATTTTCTTTTTTAACTACACTTCACTTTTTCTTCCTTTTTTCTTTTCAGACAGTAATATTGTAACATTTTTAATACCAAAATAACAATTTAACAATTGCTTCTTACATAAATAATAATTAACTTATTAAAACTTTCGTGAGACATTATACTACATAAATTATAACACGGCTAAACTCACGTGATAACATTCTGTGTAGGCACCGACAGTTTCGACAGTTGGGGGTCCTTCTTCAGGGTGAGTGATTAATCGGGTATACTCGCTATCGCGTCGCGACGGTCACTCAAGTGACTCAGACGGTCACTCAGACTCACTCAGTGACCGTCGCGACGCGATAGCGAGTATACCCGATTAATCACTCACCCTGAAGAAGGACCCCCAACTGTCGAAACTGTCGGTGCCTACACAGAATGTTATCACGTGAGTTTAGCCGTGTTATAATTTATGTAGTATAAATAATAATATTTAATATTTATTGCAGTTTTACAAATAATTTTATTCAATAAAATTATAATAATGATAAATAAAAAGAATACAGCGCCATCTATTGGTCGATTACTTTTAACCACTAATATAATAAAACGTATACACACTTTGTTATATAGGAAGTCAGCAATCACAGTATGTTTTTGAATAATTCTTCCCCCTACACAAAAAAAAATTAAAAATCCCCTACACTTATCACCTGCTTTGGACTATATTTTCACACTATTAAATTTAGAGAGTGTTTATATTGGAAAAATCCTCATTTTAATTTATAATTTTCAACTAACATTTCCCGCGACTCCGTCCGCGGCATTAAAAAAATAACAAATGCAAGTAGCCTATGTGTTATTCCAGACTACCCATCTATGCCAAATATCATCAAGATCCGTTTAGGCTACAAACTAACAAACATCTAAACTTTCGCATTTATAATATTATTGTGATTTTATCATATTTCTTGACCTGGTTCTACATTTTTTCAAGGAACTTAAAAGATTTACCTCTAGAAGAGAATCCGGAGAAGAAAAAGGACAGAATAGAAGAGATAAAAGCATCAGTTAATAAGCAGAGGGAGACATTCCCCTGTCCACAGTGTGATAAGAAATTTCAATGGAGAGGAAATTTAGCGAGGCATATGGAAAGTCATACTGCTAGGTAAGAAAACTTTTTCTACCAATTTATAGTAATACTAGCTGTCGCTCGTGACTTTGTTCCCGTGAAACTGAAATATAAAGACATGTTACTCACAAATATTGACAGTGGTAGTGCCCGCTTTAACATCTTAGCAGTGCAGGGCACGCCCCCAGTAATACCACGACCACACAAGACAGGTGTGAAGTAGAAGCAATTCCGTGTTTAGTCTGATGAATGTGGTGCCGGAGTCCTAATTTAAGTCCCTTTCTCTTTACCACCCTTTTCTTAAAAGGAGAGGTTGGGAAGGGGAAGTGGATTTGACGGTGGAGGAGATGCATAGGAAGGGGAAATATCCTCTTTATGTGCGTCTCCTCCTCCGTCGTATAAGGGTAGGCAACGCATCTGCAATTGCGGATGTCTATGGGCAGCGGTCGCTTCGCCATTTTGGCGGTTTCAGGTGGCCGCTTGCTCGTTTGCCACCTTATGTTATAAAAAAAATAACCTTTCTATGAGTATATTAGAGGAAGTTTGAGAGTAGCCCCAGAGGTTGAGAAAATAAGGAGTAAAAGGTTAGAGTGGGGGCATGTTATGAGAAGGGATGAATCGCATGTAACACGGACGTTAGTTATGAATGGGGTACACCGGTAGAGGTAGACAGAAAGAGATGTATTGTGTGAAAGGTGACATGATCAAGAAGAGAGTGATGACAGATGACGGATGATAAAGTGCTGTGGAGGACGAAAACCCAGTGCGCCGACCCTACGGGAGTAGGATAAGGCAGGGGAGATGATGATAAAATAACCTTCTTAGTGGTGAAAGTAGTTTTGAAATCGTCCCAGTAGTTTTTGAGTTATTTCAAAAATACAAAAATACAAATATTTCTCTTTTTATAATTTTAGTATAGATAAAATGTAAGTTTATTATAGTAAGTTGTCCATAACATACTTTTATTTTTATCTTAATATTATAAAGAGGAAACATTTGTATTGCATGTAACGCATAAACTCAAAAACTACTGTTTTTTTTCAAAACTTCTTTCACCATTAGAAAGGTAAATTATCATTTAGTGATATAGGATATCTATAAAAAAATTACCACCTGTATAAAGCTGTGTTATCGCTGAGTTTTTTGTGCCTAATGTTATAAAGAGAAAAGGTTTTTTTGTATGAATTGAAATAACTCAAAAACTACTAGACCGATTTCCACATTTCTACCACCTTTTAAAAGCTAAGTCACTGAGTAACAAAGGCAATTAATTAAATTCACCCGGACGGAGTCGCGAGCAACAACTAGTATGCAAAAAAGTACTATACTGATGCTTAACTTCGTAAAAAGACGTACATATAGAAAATTAAGTTTCATAATTTTATATTTACAGAGCAAAGGGCGATTTAATCTGCGAGCCGTGTAATAGAACATTCTCGTCTAAAGCAACGTACGAACAGCATATGAAAGTCAGCATGCGACATGTCTCTGAGAATGATTTCAAGTGAGTACTTACTCTGTGACGTTTTTTAATCTTTGACAATTTCTTTATCTGTGTGACAGTTTATAAGCTTTGGTATTTTGTTCCAATTTTATATTGTGTTTGAAAATTAAACTAATATTAAAGGTAGAAAGTCTGTATAAATCGATAATATAGAATACTAGCTTTCGCCTGCGACGTCCGCGTGGATTTAAAAAAGGAATGAGTAGCCTATGCGTTCTCTCAGACTATCCTCTACATCTATACCAAATTTCATCGAAATTCGTTCCGCCGTTTAGGCTACAAACTCTAACAAACATCCATCTAAACTTTCGTATTCATAATATACTAGCTATTGCCCGCGACTTCGTCCGCGTTGTATTACAAAACATACGAACTATGTAAATAACAAAAAGCTATATATCCCTCGGGAACCGGACATTTCTCGGGGATGAAACCTATCCTATGTGTACTCCACTTTGTTTTATATCTGTGACAAATTTCAATAAGATATGTTGAACTGTTGCAGAATGATCGAGTAAACATTAAAAAACTAAATGAATGAATCCCACAGGAACCGTAACTATTCCCGGGATAAAAAGTAGCCTATGTGTTCTTCCAGACTATGCTCTAAACCTGTGACAAATTTCATCGTAATCCGTTTAGCAGTTTAGGCTACAAACTTTAACAAACATCCATCTAAACATTCGCATTTATAATAGTACTAGCTTTCGCCCGCGACTCCGTCCGCGCGGAATTAAAAAAAACAAAAGCAAGTAGCCTATGTGTTCTTCGAGACCATCCTCTACATCTGTACCAAATTTCATCGAAATCCATCTAAACTTTCGCATTTATAAGGATTTATAATGATTTCAGATACATGTGCAGTGAATGCGGCAAACGGTTTGCGAACAAAACTCGACTACGTGACCACGTGGATTGGGATCATTTGAAGAACTACGTACATAAATGTACTGAATGTCAGAAGGTAATTGTTCTAAAAACTTTAATATATTAACAATAACTAATATTATAAATGCGAAAGTTTAGATGGATGTTTGTTACCGTTTGTAGCCTAAAAGGCTGAACGGATCTCTATGAAATTTGTCACAGGTTTAGAGCGTAGTCTGGAAGAGCACATAGGCTACTTTTTATCCCGGGAATAGTTACGGTTCCCGTGGGATTCATTGATTCAGTTTTTTAATGTTCACTCGATCATTCTGCAACGGTTCAACATATCTTATTAAAATTTGTCACAGATATAAAACAAAGTGTGGAGTACACATGGGATAAGATTCATCCCCGAGAAATGTCCGGTTCCCGGGATACGTAGCTTTTTGTTATTTATATAGTTAGTATGTTTTCTAATACCACGCGGACGAAGTCGCGGGCAACAGCTCGTTAACAAAAATGCATTTTTTAATAATATGTTGCAAACGAGCAAGTGGTCTGAATCCACCGAAATGGAAAGCGACTGCACATAAACATCCACAATTGCAGCGCTGCCTACCCTTCATTGACGGAGGAGACGCACATAAAGAGGATATGTCCCCTTACTATGCGTCTCCACCGTCAAATCCACTTTTCCTTCCCATCTTAACCACTTAAGAAAAGGGAATAAAATGAGTCCTCCGGCAGCACACTGATCAGTGGGCGGAATATCTTCCACTTGACGATGTCTGAGGTCGTGGTATTGCTGAGAGCCTGCACTGCCGACATGTTAGAGCGGCCTCTACCACTGTCATAATTTTTTGAATGTTTCAGGTATTCAAGAGTCATACGTCTCTGTATCTCCATAAACAGAATGTCCATGAGAAAGATCAGGCCGGTCATCTCTGCCATCACTGCGGGAAAGCGTTTCCGGTAAGAAATTACCTGTTCCCGTGAGGTTTATTCGCATTAAAATATAAAAAACTGTATTTTATTGTTTACATTTGTTAAATTTTCAATTCCAAATGTCAAAATTACCGTTACCATAATAACCTTCCTTTCGTAATGTTGGCAGCTTGTAGTTTCTGGTCCCTTTTGGGAAAGGGGCTTCATGTGGGCATGATGGATTTTTTTTACAAATTATTTACCCCTTAAGTTTAATAGTGTGAAAATATATAGGCTAAAGCGTGTCATAAGTGTAGGGATTTTATTAAAGAAGGAATTATTAAAAAAATATGCTGTGATTGTTGACATCGCCGTTTTGACTACATACTAACAAACATCCATCTAAACTATCGCATCTTAGTAATATTATAAATGTGAAAGTTTAGATGGATGTTTGTTGGAGTTTGTAGCCTAAACTGCTGAACGGATTTCAATGAAATTTGGTACAGATGTAGAGGATAGTCTGGAAGAACACATAGGCTACTTATTTTTGGTTCTTCTTAAATTCCACGCGGACGTAAGCTAGTTTATAAGATTGGTAAGATTTAGGGCTTTAACATTTTTAGCAAACGCCGGATGTGACGAAATTTGGTTTATTGGTATACTAGCTTTCGCCTGTGACTCCGCCCGCGTGGAATTAAAAAAAACATAAGTGTGTAGCCTATGTGTTCTTCCAGACTCCTCTAAATCTATACCAAATTTCATCGTAATCCGTTCAGCAGTTTAGGCTACAAATTAACATCCATCCAACTAAACTTCCGCATATATAATACTAGCTTTCGCCCGCGACTCCGACCGCGTGGAATAAAAAAAAATTAAATTAGTACTCTATGTGTTCTTCCAGACTATTCTCTACATCTATACCAAATTTAATCAAAATCCGTTCAGCAGTTTAGGCTACAAACTCTAACAAACATCCATCTATACTTTCGCATTTATAATATTAGTATGATTAATGTGTTCCAGAATCAGGCGAAGCTCCGCGGCCACGTGTCGGGGCTGCACGCGCGCGAAGCCCCATACAAGTGTGTCTCGTGCAGCGCGCGCTTCAGCTGGCACTCCTGTTTGTCCAGACATGTGCGAAGAGTACACCGTAAAAGGGACACGTAATAGGGAATATGCATATATTTATCTTTTTTTAAATGATTCTGCTTGTTAAAGAACCAGATCAAAAAATGACGCGAAGATATTCAACCATTGAGCTAAAAGTAATAAAATTAAATTACGACCATTTACGAGCGACTAAAACGCGACCGGAGTTGTCATGAGACAATTGACGTCATTCGTCTTATTCCATTCAAAACTTACGCTCAGATGTCACTTCAATGTAAAACACAACAAAGTATCTCAAGGTCAAAAAGTCAAAAATCGATTAATTTTTATTATTCCTGGTACAAATAAGTGGTAATTAATAATTCTATTCATTAATTTTATATTTTAAAGTTGGTTTTGATATCGTGTTTATGTTTTCGTGTGTCGATGTTACTCGATAATGGGGCTTTTAATTTATTTTTACTAGCTGTTGTTCGCGACTTCGTCCACGTTAAAATATGTTACTCAGCGATAATTTACCTTTCTAATTTGGAAAGAATTTTTGATATGTCTGGTAGTTTTTGAGTTTAATACATATAAAAATACAAATCTTTTCTCTTTGTTTGTTGCGATTTATCTATCGGATAGATAAAATAGTAAATCATAGGAATTTGCTTCAGCCAGCACACAAATAATGGAATATATAACAGATTATTTATTAGACACTAGCTGTTCGCGTGCGGCTTCACCCGCAAGAAAATAAAAAGCATTTATTTTATTGTTTACATTTGTCAAATTATCAATAGCAAATGTCAAAATGACATGACATTACAAAACTTGGCAATCTTGCTTCAATGTTGGCAGCGACTTATGGTCTCTTTCCCACATTAGGGTTTTTATCCAAAATATTTAGCCCCTAAGTTTAATGGCGTGAAAATATATAGCATAAAGCGTGTAAGTGTTGGGCTTTTTATTAAAAACAGTGTATATCGTAAAAGATTAAGAAATAAAACTATTTTAACGGAGACATTATGTAATGATAAAATATGTACAGAAACAGACTAGAAAAAAGTGATGACGTCGACAATGTGTTCTAATTTTGAAATAATTTAATTTCTTCTTCAATTCTAATGGCTTGACTCTAAAAACGTGTAAAAACTCCTTGAACAAACAGAATTATTTAAACATATGTTGCGATTGCTGACTTCTTAGGCAACAAAGAAGTGTGTGTTTACGCTTTATTATAATAGTATAGATATAGATATATTTTACATAATTTGTTATAAAAAGAAACATATTATGTAAAAAAATAGAGCACCACCGGCTGCGGAATCCGAGGCCTCAAGCAACCAGTGGTGAGGGCAGAGACAGGAACCTCCTCACTATTCATGCAGTTTCTAAAATAACCGCCTTTTGTATCGGGCCCTTAAACTGTCTAGCGAGAGCTTCTTGAGGTGTTGGTCGAAGCTCTTCGCTGACCCGTGTACCGAAACGACTATCGGAATAATGGTAGTCGATTTCATACGTCACATGGTGGTAACCTCGTGAGCCACATCCAAATATTTTAATAATTTTTCATTTTCGTCTTTCACGAGATTCTCGTCATGTGGGATAGCTCCACCTTTATAATATTATTACTGACAGCTTCTTTGATGTATTTACATTAGACATGTATTTGTTTCGTCCGTTGATAAAGGATTCTTCGCTATCTGTATGGCTGACTGTCACTATATATAGTGATGGCATTTTTTTATCATATAAGATGGCAAACGAGCAAGCGACCACCTGAATCCGCTAAAATGGCGAAGCGACAGCCCATAGACATTCGCGATTCGTTGCCTACCCTTATCCGACGGAGGAGACGCACATAAAGAGAATATGTCCCCTTTCTATGTGTCTCCGCTACCAAATCCACTTTCCCTTCCCATCCTTTTTCATAAGAAAAGGGTGGGAATGAAAAGGAACCAAAGTTAGGCTTCCGGCACCACACTCATCAGACTGTACGCGGAATTGCTTCCACTTCACTACTGTCTGTGTGGTCGTGGTATTGCTGGGGCGAGCCCTGCAGTGCGAAGATGTTAAAGCGGGCTCTACCACTGTAAAGACACCATTCTTTGTAGTCAATTCTTCAATAAGACTTTTTAAGAATGTTGACTACATGCCTCTGACATAGCAACATATTCAGCTTAAGCGCTTGATAGAGCTACTGTGCTCTGCTTCTTGCTTTCCCAAGATATAGCTCCTCCTAAAATAAAGACAAATCCTGAAAAAGATTTCCTGTCGCTGATATCTTCAGCATGATCTGCATCCAGTCGTTATAGTGTCTGTGTATGTATTTTTTTATTTTAGCTAAATTTCAATACACATTAATCTGTGTCCTCGGAAGTTTCGGTTTCGTCCGAAATAGAGCAAGGCCGAAGTTCGGTTTCGGTTTCGTCCGAAACAGAGAGCAAGACCGAAAGTTCGGTTTCTGTTTCGTCCGAAACAGAGAGCAAGGCCTAAAGTTCAGTTTCGGTTTCGATTGAAAAAACAGTTTCAGTTGTCTTATGTGACCAGAACGCTATTATTGTTTATAATTATTTTGAACATTAACAAGGAAATACTATTCTATATTATCTCGGAACCTAACCTATGTTATAGACTAGACTTTAATCTATGGATTTATTTATTAAATTATTTTGTATTTAGTATTTAAATTGACATAATAATGCCTTTAAATGTTTAAAGGATTATAAAGATATTGTACATACAAGAGCGTCGGTAGCTCAGTGTTTTAAGCACTTGAATTGTAATCTACAGGTTTTGGGTTCGAATCCCGCTGTACCTGTGATTTTCGATTTTTCGAATTTTCATATGTACATAATTTACCCAACGTTCTTACGGTAAAGGAAAACATCGTGATGCAGCACATATCGGCGAAGAAATTCAAAGATATGTGTGAAGTCAACCCGCAGTGCAGCGTGGTTGACTATGGCCTAGTCACCCTTACTTAGGGTAGGCTCCGAGCCCCTCGGTGGGGACCTATAGTGAGCTGGTGATGGAAAGATATTGTTTAAATATTGTTTAACTTGTTACCGACAGTGCGGCAGCCAAAAATACAAAATAAAAACTTTTCTTCTAACTAAAACATCCTTATTCAAACTTATTTATATCTAGCTGTTCCCGTGCGGCTTCATCCGCATCACATTTGCCAAATTATCAATAGCAAATGTCAAAATGACATGACATGGGAAGTCTCAGCAATCTTTCTTTCTTGATGTTGGCAGCAACTTATGGTCTGTTTCTGATAGGAATTTGCTCCTGCCAGCACACAAATGATATAATAAATAATGTTTGTTATTTATTCACATTTAAATTTATATTAATACAAGTGTATATAGAAAATAAGATTTTATTTTTCCACTATACATAACATGTGCTTTTTTTCTAATTTCGAACAACTAACTGATCAAACATATGTCATTATTTAAAATATCCTAGACAGCCAGTCTTACAATGCAACCTCTACATAAAGCAGGTTTCATTTACAACAGTTACCTCCATTAGGGTTTTTATCCAAAATATTTACCCCCTAAGTTTAATGGCGTGAAAATATATAGTCTAAAGCGTGACGTAAGTGTAGGGTATTTCATTAAAGAAAGAATTATTCAAAAATATGCTGTAATTGCTTACATCTTAGGCAACAAAAAAGTGTATGTTTACCCAAACGAAAACTTTTTTATTATTTATTTAACAAAAACTACATATATCGCGATCACATCTTGTACGCGTCCCTTTTCCTTCTATTCTTTTTAACAACAAATAATGCAAACGTCTTGGTGGCCAGTCTGCAACCTCTTTGGCTGTATTCGTACTGTTAGCCAAAGAGATTGTATTTTGCACTCAATTGATACGTTGTCTTGTATATCTATTCTATACATATAATAAAATTGGAGTGTCTGTAATATTAATAGAAATATCCAGATTTCGGGGATAACAAAAATCGCATTTATTTTTTTTTGTCTGTCTGTCCGCAAGCCGCGTTTGTTCCGGGTAATCTCCGAAACCGCTGGACCGATTTTGAACGGACTTTCACTGGAGTAGCTGACAGACGGACATATTATAGACTACTTTTTATTTTAATACTACCTGTTCCTATGCGACTTCATCCGCATAAAATTATAAAAAAATCATTTTATTGTTCACATTTGTCAAATTATCTATTGCAAATGTCAAAATGACATGATGTGATGTCAAACCATGACAACCTTGCCTCCTTGATGTTGGTAACAACTTATGGCATCTTTCCCACATAAGGTTTTTTATCCAAAATATTTACCACCTAAGTTTAATGGCGTTAAAACATATAACCTAAAGCGTGACACAAGTGTAGGACTATTTATTAAAAAAAGAATTATTCAATAACATACTGTGATTGCTGACATCTTAGGCAACAAAGAAATGTGTGTTTACGTTTTATTATAATAGTAGAGATTGGGTGGACGAAATCACGGGCAACAGCTAGTTGTAACTACATTCGATTATTGTTTACTTGTGGCACTAAAATGATTAGTTTACTTTTTTGTATATAGTTATGTATTGTATTATGCTATCAATTTAAATGTAATAAAATTTTCCAACAGTACTTGTTGACGATGTAACTTAAAAATCTGCTTCAATAAATATTTTGTTCGTTATATCAACATAGGTTGAAATTATAATATTTCTGTTTCTTTTGTTTATTATTGTTTATTAGGCTGTATCGATTACAATTTCTACTATATGTTATCTGTTTGCTACCGAGTTCTACCACGGTAGATGGAAATGTTGGTATGTTTTGAATGTAAAAAATAAAGTGGAGGGTGGCCGACATACTATAGTTTGTCTAAATAAGATAGATTAGTTTGATAAAGGACGCATGAAGTATCGAATTCAATTTGTATGAAGGCAAATGCCGTACTTAATAGACTGGTATCGTAGTGACGAAATAAACACGCAGCGAAAAATTATGAACTATATCGATATTTGGTTTAAATAATTATCGAACTCAACTAAAATTATTATTTTGTTATTAACTAATTTAGAAGACAACTCTAGTATTGATTATAGTATAGGGAATTTAACGATGACAATAATAATAGCGAAATCCAATTCGATTACGTACAGCTGTAGTAGTAATAAATATTTATTCACTCACATTATTTGTTATGGTTTTGCAGGTCATTATTAATTTGAGAAAATAGTGTTTTTTTATTTAAATTCATAAGTTATAACTACGAATCTCTATTCCAACTTCTATAAGAATAAAAATCGAAAATCGATAAGATTCATGACTGATTTTACATAACCCATCCCTACTGAACTGTCACAAGAATTGTCAAACTAATCTATCTTATTTAGACAAACTATGATAATCTTAAGATTATACTTATAAAATGAAAATTTCAAATTGAATAAAACAAATGTTTTTGATTACAATTTGCAATAAAAATATAAACACAATAAAATTTTATTATGTAGCATTTTCATGAAGAAATCCAACTGGAAGTATGAAGTGTATTTTATTTTTATTTTTCATTGGTAAGTTACATCTTACTAATGTTATAAACTAGCTTTCACCCGCGACTCTGTTCGCGTGGAATTAAAAAAAACTGAGTAGTCTGTGTTCTTCCAGACTATCCTCTACGTCTATGCCAAATTTTATCGAAATCCGTTCAATCGTTTAGGTTACAAACTCTAACAAATATCCATCCATCCAACTAAAATTTCACATCATACTAATATTATAAATGCGAAAGTTTAGATGGATGGATGTTTGTTATAGTTTGTAGCCTAAACGGTTGAACGGATTTCTATGAAATTTGGCATAAACGTAAATGACAGTCTGGAAGAACACATAGGCTACTTTTGTTAAATCCACGCATATGAAGTCGTGGGCGAAACCTTGTATATAAATGTAATTCAGTTGCAGTAAAGGCCACAAATGTGACAAAATCGGATGAAAAATCTACTTTAGTTCCTGATTCAGAAAAAAACGCATATAGAAAATCATTTGTTAACGAAGTAATGAATATATTTAGTGCATTAAATAATAATGCATCAAATATTGTAATAAATCAAAGAGCCAAAGAAGAAATTACTTATTCACGTGTTTTGTATAGTTTTTTGAATAAAACATACGTATGTGGTAGTCAAAAATCTAAAGAGATCGCACCAGATCTGTTAGCTACTATCGAAGCGATATCACAATTACCCTTCATGGATTATATTATAACAGATCCGGTTAAAATAAAAACAGTAAATACAGTTAAAAAATGTGCATCGTATACAAAAACGAGGAAGAAAACAAAAAAGAACAAAGCTAAAAGAATTAAGGATATCACAAGGTCTAAAAAAGTAGATACATTCTTCACTGGTGCGTTCGAAGAGAGTATTGCGGCGAAAAGCAAAGACGATAAAAAAATTATATCAATAGAAACTAACAATTTAAAAGATTTAAAATCAAATAACGTCGTTATTGATCAATTTAGAAGCATACTAGATCATATAATAGACGACATTGATGACAAATATTCCGATAAAGGTAAACAGGTTAAAATTATATTTGAAATTGGTGATAATTTAAAAAAAGAATTAAGTAACAAAGAACCAGTTAAACCGGAATTGAAAGCAAAGGAAACAGATGGAAGTAAATTAACAATAAATGATGTACTATTCAGAACTAATACAGCTATAAAAAAAGTTGAAGAATCAGATGGAGAACTTAACAGACGTAAGATGGTAACAGAATCAGAAAGTGAGAATACAGAAGAAGATGCAAGTGATAATATAGTTTTAAACAATAATATGGAGATTTTTGTTAAAATGAATAAACCGTTTGATGAGTATTATTATTTTAATCGATGCGTTGGTAACAGAAACCAGAAAGTGTTAAGATTGAATGTGGAGCTGTACACCGGTAGAGATAGAACTAGAAAGAGATGGATGGATTGCGTGAAAAGAGATATGATCAAGAAGGGACAACGGCGTATCCAGGGGGGGTCATTGAGGTCATGACCCCCTTGAGCTGGTTGGTCAAGAGTTTGACAAAATATATTTACATATTTTGTCAAGCTCTTGACTTGACCCCTGGCGCCAAAGGATCCGCCCTTGAGAAGGGAATGATGACTGAGATGACGGATGATAGAGTTATTTGGAGGACGAAAACCCTTTGCACTGTCTACGGGAGTTGGATAACGTAGATATGATGATGGCGTGCGGAGAATACTTGCTTTGAATTACATGTGCAGCGGATTTTAGTAAATCGCGGGGATATTTCGTTTACCGGATATATTGCAGTTCTAAATACGCATTATTACGTGACCCGCGCTCCAGCGACAGACTGCAATTACGTAAAAAAACGTTCCCCGCATACCAAGTGTTAACTATTAATGTTCGAAGTATAAGTTATGTTACACCGTGTAACGTTATATGTCACACAAAGGCTTGCTTGTTAGTGATGTGCTATTCTGTGTTTTAATTATCTTGTAGATTTAGTTACTAATTTGATACAAAGGTTAGGAAATGAAAATTCTCGTTAGACGGAATTTTATTTTTAACAATAAAACTTTTTTAGTCTTTGTATAGCTGGTAACATTATCTACCATATCTCAATATTAAATAGTTTTCCTTTTAAGTTGATTTTAATATACGTAGAGTAAATAGTGTAATTTACGCAATTGCAATGCTTGAAAAAATAGAAAGAACACATACAAAAGCTATTTGAAACAATTTTAAGAAGAGTTTTAAAAATTGATGTACAGTTAGGGCTCTTCGCAGTGTCCCACTTTTAATTGCCTCGTTACTTGCAATAATACAAAATGCATGTAAATAGCCATTAGCAAACGACAGGAACCTTTTTGCGTACTCACTGATATGCTGTGTTTTATTGGTGTTTTGGGTCGTCGCGTCTTTTCACATTGTAGCTTCAAAGTGGAACACTGCAAAATTACCCGATAGTACTACTAAACTTTGTGTGCTTATGGCTTCTCAACTACGTTACCCATTCTTTGTTTTTTCGATAACTACATGAAATTAGTTTTTGAATTAACTTGTTTTACTCCGTTAAAACATAGATCAACCAAATACTAATGAATCACTAGGTAACGGCAAAATTAATGGATACTTCAGAAACCCAATGTTTGTTAGATTTGTCGGTTTTGTAACTTTTACGTTTCAACCGTTTCACTGTAATCATTTTCTTTGTACATTTCTTCTATTTTCTTACAAAGACTCTTTGTTAATACTTCTTCTATTTTTGAATTTGGATTAAGTGTGTGGTTCATACTTTCTTTACCAATGTTATCTCGATTGAAGTATTTAACGTTTTTTGATAAGAAAAATAAACTCCTTAAAGCAGGATCTGTGGTAGATTCTGTGTTGTTTATCTTGTTTTCTCTTTTATTTTTATGGGTATCCGAATTTGTTGATAATAAATCGAAGATAAGAGGTGAATCGTTTTTAATGATTCTGTTAGTTTTTCTATCTATGATCCCGCAGTTATCTACGCAGGCGTAATTCCTGTGGCCGTTCATCATAACTCTTGAATATATTATATGATTCGTTCTATTTATAATTCTGAATAGAATGGAATGCGGTAATATCTGAAATATATAAAAAAAATATTATAGAAATTAATTACTTAAGATTTCATCCGCGTGAAATAATACAAAACATGTCTTCCTCTTTTTTGTGGCAAACGAGCAAGCGGCCTGAATCCACCGAAATGGAATGCGACCGCTAAAAGTAGCAGAGAATCTATAAAAGTTGAAGATAAATAAAGATATCCAACTATAGCGGTTCTAGAAGTTTATAGAAATAGCCTAAATAACGACATCTGTCTTTCAAAAACGTATTACTAAACCCTTCAAAAGATAAACTCACAGGAGACTGCGCAAGACAGTGCCTTTGGCGATTTCGTGTGGGCTTATGCCACTATAAGTATATGCCAGCAGAGTAAGTATAGTATTTTTTTATCTAAGTAGCTTTGAAGTTACGACAGACAATGGGCGTTCGACTATCTAGGCTAGGCACAGGTGGGATCAACTACCACAATGCCTTTATTCGTAGTAATTTACATAAATATTTTTAACTAGCTTTCCCCCGCTAATTTCGAGTGTAATTATAAATAACTAAAGTTAGTAGCCTATGTGTTCTAGACTGTTCTCTACATCTATGCCAAATTTCATCGAAATCCGTTCAGCCGTTTTGACTACAAACTCTGACAAACATCCATTTAAACTCTTGCAATTATAATATTAGTGACAGTAAGATTTTTGGAGGGCCTATTACAACTACACACACATGTTTTTGAGATGCAATGACATTTGAAAAGGACTGAATGACAAATCTCACCGTGTATAATGTCAAAATTCGACAACTTTCCCGCCCTTTACAGATGTCAGCTAGTGTAGTTTCCGATTCCAAATCGTTATATTTACTGGTTATTTTCCATTCGGTTTCTAAAGGATTGTCGCATACAGATAACAAATCGTTTAGGTTAATCAAAGTGGGACAGGTACTGGAGACATCGTTCCATTGGGCGAAGTAAATTGAACATATCTGGTTATTGTTTGTTACTGATAGTATTTCATAAGGACAAGGTGGTGGTTTTTCTTCCATGACCTGAAAGAGAAAGTTTATCTATACTTATATAATAAAGCGTAAACACACACTACTTTGTGACGTAAGATGTCAGCAATCACAGCATATCTTTGAATTAATCTTTCTTTAATAAAAAAAGTCCTTCAGTTCGTAACGCTTTAGGCTATATATTTTCGCGCTATTAAACTTAGCGGGTTGATAAATTGGATAAAAACCCCAATATGTCGCACGGGAACAGCTAGTTTATATAAACTGTCACAAAAGTTCCGTATTACGAGCACAGTGTACATGAATACACTACCTGTTCCCGTGCGGCTTTTCTTTTCATTTAAAGTATAATATTTTTTTCCTAATTTTTCACTCCGTAAATTAAATAGAGTGAGAATATGACGTCTATGGTGCGCCGTAAGTTTATGGCTTTAAAAACTGACTTCTTACATAAAAATTTCGAGAACTCACCCAATAACCAGATGTTAAACAATTTTTACAAGAAGTATTTCCCACGCCTTTGCATTTGTAACAAATAATCGTTTTGTTTCCTTCATTTTCGATATCCCGCCACGTCCTCCAATGAAAACCTCTTTTGAATATATATTTAACACCTTTCATAGACAACATAGAAAGAAATCCAGTCTCCATTTTATTTATTCTTTCCTTTTCTTCAGCAGTATGGACATCGTAATGCGGTATTCCATCAACATAAACTGTATTATTAGTTAAATGGTCCAACATTTGTGATTTTTGATATTCAATTTTTTTATCCATAAGTCGACTACGTAAACCATCATTATCTTTATAAATCTCTTGATATCCGTTATCCTGAATAGAATTTACATCTTGTTCGTTTATTTTTATACTCAATGTAATATTTAAGGTTATAAACAAAATAATCACAAGCAACGTCTTGTTTTCGGAATGCATTACCTAAAATTACACAGGAATGACGAAATGTTTCTAAGAAAACGACGATAATTGATATTTGTAGGAATGTGGCTTTTATTTGGTAAACAACTGCCCAAGCTATTGTGCTGCGATAAATCTGTTTGCATTTCGCTGTGACGTTAATCAACAATTACTGGTCAAAATGACCAATGCAATATTACGAAAACAACGAGTTGCATATTTTTAATACTAGTTACCGTCTCCGGATTTAATTATAGCAGAGTCTACGCACACAAACCTTTTTTTCAATTAGTAAAAGGTACATGATTGAATATTAATAAATGTTATAATATCGTTTTGTATTCAATTTAATCATGTACTTTACTTCTTAGCTTCAAGTATAAGGCCACAGTACAATGTTTAAACACTGTAGGGATTTAGATTTAATGATTCTTTCATGTCTAAAAAGGATAAAAACGGAGAAATGTTTCAAATAGAAGTACACATGTGTGAATCAGCTCTGAAGCGGTAAAAAAGATCAGTTCACACAACTCTGAACCGTTGTTCTGCGGCTCGACAGCTCCCTGCTCAATATGAAGTAGTAAAACTGTGGCAGCGGACGAACCGCGAACTGACCAGTGATTCGCAACTCACAAATGATATCGCAGGTAAAAATTGAGCGGACCACTGATCTGCTATTGTCATGCACATCGTAAGCTGATCTTACATATTCCGCAGAGATAGCAACCCAAAGTGAGCCTTGACCTCCGACACAAGAGAACACCAAACACTCATTGTATGGTAGATTTATTCGGTTTCAACGTTTCAAAGTAACAAAGAAAAGTCCGTGTTTTTATATGTTATGACGCTTTGCTATTTATTTAAATTTGGATACTTGTTAAAGAAAAATAATTCCTTTAATCTATTTCTATACTATTAAGCTACTTTGTGGCGTAAGATGTAAGGAATCACAATATATTTTTGAATAATCCTTTCTTTAATAAAATCCCTACACTTATTATACGCTTTAGGCTATATTTTTTCACGCTATTATACTTAGGTGATAAATAAATTGGAAAAAACCGTCACGTGGGAAAGGGATCATAAGCTACAAGCTGCCAAGATCAAGGATGCAAGGTTGCCATGGTTGTCATTTGTGCATTTTAATTTTCACATTTGCAATTGAGAATTAGCCAATTTTAAATAGTAAAACAAAGTTTTATAATTACAACAGCTAATTAAACTACAATTAAACACTATTAGAATATTAACGTTAACTCTAATCGGTTACAGCTAAATTGGTACATCACTAATGACATACGTCAGTTCTACAACTTCATTCATTTCGCGTCATTCATTGTTGAAACTGTGTGGTGATGGTACCATATGTCATATTATCAGAAACTCCCACAATTGTGATGAATATATTGCAATGTCCTAGTGAAAACGCTTGTGCTAAATTAGTTTTTTTTATGAATTAATCTTGTGTTAATTACCTTGTTTTGCATAACCTGTTCAAGACATCCAGTAAGTGTTAATTACGTTTACTAAGTATTTACGATGTAAGTAATTTGTTTTGGTCTTGGCGTGAAGTTATAAAGCTATTTATGTCATTGTTAAGTGATAACTGATTCTTAGAGTTAACTAGAACTAGTTTAATAAGTTTCCGAACTAGTTTTAAGGTACCGTGAATATTTTATCTATATAATAGTTTAAACACTCATTTCAACTCTGATAAGGCATAATTTAGTATTTACTTGACAATTATAATATATTAAATAAAAATTATTAAGTACATAAACAAAATATGAGTCACTTCAATAAACAAAGGATTTATTCAAAACAAAGACATTGCATAAAGAAATGGCGGCGCGTTTTTTTAAACAATTCTCGGTGTTTGTTTAGTTTGTCTTAACTAGCTTTCGCCCGCGACTCCGTCCGCGTGGATTAAAAAATAATAGTAAATAACCTATGTTTTCTTTAAGACTATCCTCCAGAATAGCCAAATTTCAACATCCATTTAAGCTATATAAACTCTAACATCCATCCATCTAAACTTTCATATTTATAATCACCATATGTCTTTATTTCTTACTCTCTATATAATACATTTTACAAGATTTGATATAAAAATAAAATAAAACATATTTATAAAAAATAGAGCACCACCAGCTGCGGAATCCTATGACTCAAGTAACCAGTGGTCAGGGCTGCAGAGACAGGAACCTCCTCACTATTCATGCGCTTTCTAAAATAACCACCTTTTGAATTGGGCCCTCAATCCAACTGTCCAGCGTAAGCTTCTTGATGTGTTGGTCGTAGTATTTATAATATTATTATCATGAAATTGTTATTTTCTCAACATTGTTAGTAAGAATTTTAATAAAATATGTATAAAGTCATTGTTCTCTGTTGTACATGTTTAAAATATCAATTATTATTATATTTGGCCAGTATTATAAAAGTATTTTAGCATAAAGTGGAAAAGAGGAAACCATTTGAATTGTGTAATATTTTACTCAGAAACAGTTTATTTTAAAAATTTAAAGTGCTCTTCCATCCAAAAACCACTCATCTAGAGTAGATTGTATCACTCTTAGTTCAACCATATATCACTTTGTCCGCGTGAAATTAAAAAAAAAAATATATGTTACTCATAGATTAATTACCTTTCTAATGGTGAAAGAATTTTTGAAAACGGCCCAGTAGTTTTTGAGTTATTTCAATATATACAAAAATACAAATCTTTCCTCTTTAAAAAGTTGGGTCTCCTATTGATGGTTTTTTTTAATTGCCATATTGGCTTCTATCCAAATAATATTGCTTGATGAATGTTCCAGATTATCAAATAAGAGAAACCCTAAATTACCTCAAACAGTGACTCATTCTATTTGGCACTTTATCAATAACTTTTGGTAGTTATTGTTATGGTGAATGTTGCCCCATTTAATTTCACTACACTGTTGAGGCAGAGGCATTACTATGTCCCTTGGCCAAGTTTTATTAGATTTGATGTTAATATGCATCTCTCCTGATAACTCATTAACATATTAACCCCTTTCTTGTTAGTGTATCTGTAGAGATATATCAATTTTTTTTTCTAAACACCTTGAGTCATCAAGGTTAAGTGAATATTATTTTGATATTCGAAAAAATAAAATTCTGCCAATTTAAGGGTTAAAAGCACTAATCACCAAACAGTGAAATTCTCAAACAATTACAAACTAACAGAGGTTGTACTTTATGCTTGGGACGTCTGCTCCCGTAGGGGCTCGGACACGACTGACTTGCTGGCATGACACCATGGCAGAGGTCAAAAATTTAGAATTTGGATCTATGTATATGCATGCTATGCACCTTTGACTAAACTATCCGACAACAGTCAAGGGCAGATCCAGCTTTGGCGCCAGGGGGGAGGTCACATAGTTGTGGTCAAGTCAGAGCTTGACCAACCAGCTCAGGGGTGTTATGACCCCCATGTCCCTGGATCCGCGGTTAACAACAGTAGTCTCCCTTTGGTTCAAAACCTTATATGAAGGTGTGCACACTACTTGAATTTTTGTTATGCAACTAAATAGTTGAATTGGCTGCAAAACAATATAGTCGCACAACTGTTGTGCGATAGTTTATTCAAAGATGGCCCGCTCCTTCACCAAATTGTAAATTATATCAATCTAACATGTAAAATATGTGATGGAAATATCAGATTTTGTTCCTTTATTTTTTTTTATAACATAAGGTGGCAAACGAGCAAGCGGCCACCTGAATCCGACAAAATGGCGAAGCGACCGTTGCCCATAGGCATCCCCAATTGCAAATGCGTTGCTTACTCTTATCCGACAGAGGAGGAGATGCACATAAAGAGGATATTTCCCCTTCCTATGTATCTTCTCCTCCGTCAAATCAACTTTCCCTTCCCATCCTCTCCTTATAAGAAAAGGGTGGTAAAGAGAAAGGGATTCAAATTAGGCCTCCGGCACCACACTCATCAGACGAAACACGGAATTGCTTCCACTTCACGCCTGTCTTCTGTGTGGTCGTGGTATTACACCGGGCGTGCCGGCCCATTCGTGCTAAGATATTAAAGCGGGCACTACCACTGTAAGTTATCTGTTATCTGTCAGTGATGTCATTTTAAAGCTATCTGAGCTACCAGCCAGTGGTGGGACAGGCCTAAAAGTCGTACCAGTATTCGGCCGTAAATGTTTTAATTTGTAAATGTTTTTTTAATGTTAACTTTTTTCCTCAACAACCTTCAAGCTTTGTTGGATAATTAGCATAAGTAAATGAATATTATAAAAAAATAACCTTGGCCTTAGCAATGTTTTCCGTTTTAATGATTTTGCAAAAACAGAATGGTTTCAAATGTGTGTAAATAAGTGATTTCCCATAATACCGGTGTTTTACTGAGATATGTTTTTTAATCATAAAAAAGAAAACAAAAAAGACCCCAAATTTCGTCACGCAATTTTGAGCTAGACTATTTAACTACGTCGAAGTCTTTGACTCCAAAATCAAACAAAAAAGTGGAACCCACCTGCAAGCATTACCTTTCGGATAAAATAAGAATTATCAAAATCGGTCCACTAGCGGCGGAGTTATGCCGTAACACACATAAAAAAATACATACAGACGAATTGAGTACCTCCTTTTTTTGGGAAGTCGGTAAACAAGTGGTTACCTGTATCCGTCAAAGCGAAGCGACTGCCCATAGACATCCGCAATAGCAGATGCGCCTTAATCGACGGAGGAGACGCACGTAAAGAGGATATTTCCCCTTCCTATGTATATTCACAGTCAAATCCACTTTTCCTTCCCATCCTTTTCTTATAAAATAGGGTAGAAAGGGATTAGAAATTATACCTTCGGTACACACTCATCAGACGAAACGCGGAATTGCTCCCACTTCTATTATTTATTTCTGGGTAGGAAATAATCTTCCCCGACTATATTTAGATAGGATTAAAAAGTACGTTCGTTTACAGTGTCAGTGACCTAAGTGGATTACCTGGGCAACGCGGTAGGGCAATGACCTAGGAGACAGATGTATGAAAGAAAAGCGATATTAGGGTTCAGTAGTTCTCTTGTCAAACAAGTTTGGACAAAGATGTTCATTTGTTTTATTTATATTATAAATGCGAAAGTTTAGATGGATGTTTGTTAGAGTTTGTTGACTAAACTGCTGAACGGATGTCAATAATTGTCATAGTCTGGAATAATACGTAGACAACTTGCTTTTGTATTTCTTTAATTCCATGCGGAAAGTCGCGGGCGTAAGCTAGTAAGAGATAAAGGAATTTGATTTTAAACGAGATGGTAAGAGATCTGAAGCTCTAAGCTAAGCCACATGTTTACACGCCTTTATTACTTAACAAGTTTTCGGCGCCACAACCCGCCGTGAATTAAAAGCAAAAGTAAGTAACTTATGTGTTCTTCCAGACCAATCTTTACATCTATGCCATATTTAATCAGTTTAGCAGTTTAGGCAACAAACAAACATCCATCCATATAAACTTTCGCATTTATAATATTAGTAACATTACAATAAATAGAACTTATCGTATTACTTTTATAGAGGAATTTGCCACATTAAAAAAAAATATTTAAACTCAATTTCATCTACTTAGTCAAATGACAGTGACTGGGAGATATTTAACAGTGGTAGAGCCCAGCAAATACCACGACCACACAGAAGACAGGCGTGAAATGGTAGCAATTCCGTGTTTCGTCTGATGAGTGTGGTGCCGGAGGCCTAATTTAAGTCCCTTTCTCTTTCCACCATTTGCTTAAGAGGAAAGGATGGGAAGGAAAAGTGGATTTGACGGTGGAGGAGACGCATAAGAAGGGGAAATGTCCTCTTAATGTGCGTCTCCTCCTCCGTCAATTAAGGGTAGGCAATGCATCTGCAATTGCGGATGTCTATGTGCAGCGGTCGCTTTCCATTTCGGTGAATTCAGGTGGCCGCTTGCTAGTATGCAACCTTATAAAAAAAAATAGTAAATAAATTTTATACGGAACCCAAAGAATAAATTATAATAACTCGACTCTTGGCCTTGTTTTATTTCGCGTAGTAACAAAACATGTAGATATATGATATATTGAATGAATTATTTTTTTGTAGTTCGTAAATGTTGTTACTAGTTGCTGCTAGCGGCTTCGTTTGTGTTATAAAAAAAACTAATTACAAAAGTTTGTATATAATAAATTTTTTATAAGTATAAAGGATTTAAATTTATTTTTGCTCTAAATTTTGTATCCGTTAATCCATTCTGGAGTGACAACAAACATCCATACATCCAAACTTTCACATACTATTATAAAGAGGAAAGATTTGTATTTTTTTATGTATTGAAATAACTGAAAAACGACTGGGCCGATTTAAAAAATTCTTTCACCGTTAGAAAGGTAATTTATCTGTGTGTAACATAGGCTATATTTTTTAATTTCACGCGGAAGAAATCGGAAGCAACAGCTAGTTATTTGTAGGACTAATGTATCTCGATGATATTAGGCACAGATAAAGAACATAGGAAGAAGACAGACTAAATACCGAGTTTTTTTT